ATGCTCACACACATCACTTAGTCAGCATCTTAACCGAACCTCCTTTTTATGTCTGCCAGTCCTTCTTGTGTTGAAAATAATGAGGTAAAGAACATCCTGAACGTCATCATCGCCCCCTCGATAAAGTCTCGCTGAGAGGAGAAACAGAGGCCGGGTTCAGCTGAGTCCACTACTCCTCTGATGCTGGTTGGATCAAAGTAAACACTGATAATGGTTCAACCGCAGTTAATAATACTGCTGCCCAAGAATGTTGGCTGGGCCGGCTACTCCCGACCTCACACGTATAACTGTACACACACACAAACACACACACACACACACACACACACACACACATGCACACACACTCCTCATTCCTCAATAGCAGTGACACATTCCAAGCTTTCTTCCTCTCTTCCCACAAACCCAACACGGCTCACTCCATCTTTCTAATTGTAGACCTTTGAGTTATTTCATGTGCAAAGGGAAACTGGCTTTCCTAGCTGCGCTCCCATCGGAAAAAAAACATGCATACTCACACACTCACACACAAATACAGTAGAGGCAATGACTCCGCGCATCTCCCCTTTGTAATTACAACACATTCAAACATCAGCACCCATTAGAACCTGACTTTTCCGCCTCCAGAGACCTCTGCACTCTCAGTAGTTCCTCTGACACGCCCTCCTGCACTCCCTGATTCTTTGCTTCCTCCCTCCCTCCATCTAACAAGACCTGACGGAGGCAGTGCCATGTTCACTTCAGTTGCTGAGTGCTCAGAGACATATCTATATGCAACCTGTAAAGCAAGAGTTTGCTGCTACAGTTGCATTGGTGGCCTGTGGGATTCAGAGGCACTAGCTTGATTGATCATGACTAAGATCGTCTGCGGTTGGTCTGAAGTAGAGGGACATTTAACCACCAAATTGATGTTGTGCTCCGTATGAGAACGCAGAGAATCTCCCTTGTCCTAAAAGACTTTATTGGAACTGACTGTAGAATAATTTTGCATTACATTTGTGAAAAGTTCTGGTGCTGAAGTGGAGATAATTTTCTACCGCAGGGCTGAGCAGTCTGCCCCTTCCAGAGAGAGAACCAGAGCAAAAGCCTGTCTGCTTTCAGAGAGGTTTTTTGGGGGGCTCTCATGACAGGACAGCCCCATTCTTCAGAGGTGTGACAGTTTACTGGACTAAGAGAAAGCAATTTTACAAAGCGAGAGAACACTTCAGTGTATAAAGGTTTCAAACATATCCCACAAAGTACAGAAAGAGGTTTTCACAATTGGGACTCATTATTGAAAGAGAAAGCATCTTAGAGGATTGGTGAATATGGGCTTTGTGATGTCCCCTGTGCTGCGTTAAATCATTACCTGTGTGAGGTTGGATGTGTGTGCGTGAGAGAGATGTTTCTGAGGGACTACCACCCAGGGGTGAAACCAGAGACACAGGCGACCCGCTTACCTTCCCCTGTGCCGAACTCCACCACTGCCTCCACCAGCCCTCTCTTCAATCAACCCTAGCTGCCCTAATCCTGTGTTTACACAAAATGTTCGGCAATAATGATAGCCATGAGACCATAGACCACCCCACGTTCCCTGCACACCCTCCTCACCCCAACTGCCCCCTCCGCCTTCCACCACTAACCCAAAGCTGTTTTCACAGGAGCCAAATACCTTAAATACATAATTAGCGGGGTCATTTGTGCATCGAGGGCCCCGGCAAGGGCATGAGCGTGTCCGTGTCAGTTTGTGGGGGGCAGATGGAGGATGAGGAGTGTAGCTGGGGAGGGGGAGGGGGGGCTATGAAGACGTGAGAGAGAGGCGGACAAAGACTTTCATTCATAGCCGTGGCCCCGGACAAACTTGGCTGTCGCCATCTTCAAAGGCCACCTCTGCCTTTCCTCAAAACCCAGAGGCCACAGGTTGGGGAGGAGAGGAGAAACATAACAGGGCGACATGAAGGGAAGAGGAAAGGGGAGAATGGAGGAGAGGTGGAGAGGGATGTAAGTAATAAGGCAAAGGTTACAAGATCCGTAATGTGGGAAGGAAACAGTCAAGGGTGTTTCAGAGGTGGCTGTAATATCAACTTTCACATCAAATACTGTGAGGAAAAATATATTTACTACTAAGTATTTGGCTTGGCTGGTGGCGTTTCTTCACATTAAGTGCAGAAATTTAGTTTACGATTTTACAATACTGCCACTTATAGCAACATCCCCCAGGCAACCCTTGAACCTTAACCCCTTTGCATTGTGGGTAGCCAAATCACAGTCTGCCCTCTGCAAGGAGCCTAAAATTCCAGTGGTCAATGTTTCACACTGCTTACCATTGTTCTTTGCACACTCTCACACACATCTGCAGGCTTGCACACACACAGAGCCATTCAGCGACCCTCTTCACACCTTGTTGGCCCCCTCATCCCCCTCTAGCATTGTTTATGAAAGCATGTCCACTTAGTGCTGCCCTGTCTGCCCCCTCTTGCTGTGGTGCCGATTACCCACATCCTGAGTCCACTTCACTCTGTCTTTTCTCCCTTTTCTTCCCCTCTCTCTACATCCCCTTGCACTCTCACTCCTCTGGGAATTCTCACCTCTCTCCTGTGCTCCATCCTCCATGACAGATTGCTCTCTTTTGCCTACACTGAACACTATCCCTCCATCCTGATGAATGAAGCTGTGCATGTCAGATAGAAACAATAAAATCAATCGGGCCCTTGCTCTTCCTTTTATCTTCATTTGATTCACTTTATCCTCTGTTCCACTGGCCTGCAGAGCTGCTGTCTCTCTGATCCTTTCGCTCTTTCATGTTCTGCTTTTCTTTATCTGGCTCCCTCCTGAGGTAATAAGCTGGGTGTATGGCCGGGAAGTGCTGAAGAGAGAGACTTTCATGTCCCTTAACTCTGGGATTAGGGCGAGCTGCTCGGGGTAAAGCAATAAAGCCCCCCTAGCACCTAACGTCTGCTGCTGGCGGATCCCGGAATAAAGCCCCAGCTCCTGCTCGGCCTGCAAGCCTGGAAAAGCTCACATTTCCTGGATACACCACCACCCTCAAATCCAGCCTCTGTCCTTCCTCCTCCTGCAGCGCTGACACATGTGGACTCCTCTTTAGCTCACATAATCTTTTTATCTTTTACATTTGTGTGTTATACATTACACGTGTTATATTAACTTCAAACTTTCTAGAAAGTCTGATACTAATGAGGGAATAAAAATAGATTTTATTTGCAGGGTGATCCCTATTTCCTCAGTCTTACTTTTCCTCTCTGCTATTTTATTTAGCCTTATACTACTCATACTTTTATTTCTTTAATTTTTTTAATCTTTTTTTAATTTTTAAATTTTTTTTAAAGATTTTTTTGGGGCTTTTTGTGCCTTTAATGTAGAGATATGACAGTGGATAGAGTCGGAAATCAGGGAGAGAGAGAGGGGAATGACATGGGGGGAAAGGAGCCACAGGCTGGACCCGAACTCAGGCCATCCACCCGGAAGACCACAGCTTCCATATATGGGGCGCGCACACCAACCACTGCGGCACCAGTGCCCCAATTTATTTTGATTTTGACGCAACCTGTGGACAAAGCAGTATGTCTTATCTCTTGGCCGATTTTGTCTTAAACATGTCTAAGTAATGTTTTCTGTCAATAAGCCTCATTCTGCTTTCTTCTAACCGTCAAATGTATCAGAGTGGCAGTGGTTTTTTTGGCATTAAAAATCACAATTTAGAAATGGTCATTGTCATCTCTGATGGTCTTGTTTGTTTTTGTAGGTCATTAAGAGGCATCACTTTTCATTTCAGCCTTTTTCGAAACCACTATCCACCTGCATCCTGTAGCCTACCTATACTAAAATGCCATCCTTGAAATGGAAAAAGGAACTCAACAATTTTCAGGACAAATTCTTAAGCAGAAATATATTTATTGTTGAAAACATAAATATATAAATTATGATTATTGCCATCTTTATCCAACGGAATACCAAAAGGTAAAGTTATAGGGTCTTGGTGATATGGAAAAATCTTGTTCTTTATCAAAAGGCTCCAAGCGTGGTCCCCTGTTTACTGAGAACTCTATTGATGTTAATGTGAATGTGAATGTGGACAAAGATGACACTTTAGCTTAAAAATAAAGCACCAGTCAACTGATGGTTACTTCATTCACAGGTGTGTGTGGGCGTGTGTTTTCATGATTTGTTTTCATCTTTGACTTTCTTGACTCAGTCCCTTGCCTTTTCACTGTCTTCTACTCTCTTAGAAACTTCCTCATTGTGGAGGATGTTTTCTTTGTGTTGTGTTGGCCTGGTTGCACATTCATCACTGTTACAGGAACTGTTAAGGAAGTTATTGTTTGTTCCATCAAGGCACGGGGACAGGCCGGCTCTGCAATGTTTTCAGGCCACCTCGGGGCACTCATCATCATCATCATCTGTCCTAATGGTATGTGGCTGCAGAAGGTGTGAGTCCCTCCAAAGGGCGGAGCAATCAGTGATTTGTTCTCCTGTCGACAGAGGAGTAAAGCCTGGTTCAACAAGGAGCCCATTCATGCACTTGTCGATTTGCTTTGCTCGCTCATTCCCTCTTTGAGGTGGACTTTGCTCTTTGCAGGCAAAACATGTGTACTTGTGCTGCTAGGCAGAAGGGTGGGCACATTTCTTATCAATGAGTGATATGGGTGAAAAATAGTTGTAGGCAGGAAAGAAATCATGTTTGTGAGCACGCATACACCTATATCATGCACACATTCATGAACTTGGGTTGTTCTGACGTTTTGAGGGGAATTGATAAATACTGTCAGTAGTTACTTAAACTAATAAGATATGCTTATCATGGCTGTGGAATAATCTGAGGTCTGTTTGAAGTTGCCATGTTTGAGCTTCTAATCCCTCCTTTTCACAGCTCTGATGCACTGGCAGCCCTTTCTCAGTTGTCTGTTCTGCCTCCCTCCCCCAAATTTCTGCATCTTTTCCACTGGATAAAAAAAACAAACAAGCATTCAACCACAACAAAAGAAATAAAACATAATTCCTGCTTGGATATATGTAAGCTTGATATATTTCATAACAAAAATAAAGCATCTTCCTGTACTGACTCTCACATCTCCTCCTTGCACACATATATCCAAACCATATACAAGACTTGACATTCAAATATACTGTAATATAATAAGAAACATGGATGACATGAATAACATTAACTAAAAAAAGATGACAATGGGATTGTGATGGTTACAAAGAACTGAACTGGACCTCACAGACCACACAGTTTTGCATGTCTCCAAAATCATTAAAACATCTTTTTTGTTCTTTCTTTCTTTTATGCCGGAAGAGACAGAAAGCAAACGTCCACACAGATAAATAGTTTGTAAGTAGCGGCGCGTCTTCCTTCTCAAATTGAACTGTACAAAGCAAGTGTAAAAGTCACAAGGTCATGGAGCACGTCCTCTTTACTTAGAGTACATATCCAAAACTCAAAATGTTTGATACTCCATTGAGTCTTTATAGAAAACACCTCAAATTGTCTCTCGCCGTCTGTCTTTCTTTTCATTGTCTTCCGTCCCTCCGTCTGTCTTCAGTGAGTGCCAGAGTCATTCAAGCAGGGCAGGCACCTTTATGTTGGAGCTCATCCACAGCCGGCACTGTTTTGAAATCTGGAGCACCAGATGCCCACAGAAAAAAAACTTCTTCAACCTGTTTCATAGCCATGTCTGTGATCCGTCTTGGAAGAAAGTCAATCAAAATGTTCAACAAAAATCCCTTTCAACATCTCCCCTCGGCCTCTTTCTGCCCCGCCGAGCTCTACGCCAATCTTCTGCTCAGTCAGCGGCAGGGATCAGTTGTCCGGAGAGGTGGCGTACCACAGAGGAAGTCACTGGTTAATGTTTTAAGAAAAAGCACCTTTGGCATCTTATTTATTTACGTTTTTACGTCTATAGTCGATCTGACATCTTTACAGAAAAGTTTGTGTTTGTTTAAACGAAGGTTGCATGGCAGTAGGGAAGAGGACAGAGCAGGTCTCCTGTTGGTGGTGTCCGCTATTTAGGTCCCTCCCACGCTGAAGTCCCCTTGTTCTGATTGGTCTCACCTCACGTCCACTGTGGGAGAGAGGGACATTGTTGTTAGTATCGTAGTTTTACAAACACAACACAGAAGATTTTTTTTATGGAAAGAGAATGATTTTAATCCCAATGGCATCAATTTGTTCATGCTTTTAAAACAAGCTGACACAACACACAATGTTCAAATCTTGTTTCTTCAAGACAGGGATCAGTCCAAACATCATAACATCCAGTGATTTTTGTGTTTCAATTTGTTTGTGCCAAAAGTAAAAGACAGAGAGGCGGATGACAAATTATTCTGGTACTTTTTGTTGTTGCAAGAAACCCCTCTCTCTTTTACTTTCAGAGAATAAAAGGAATAGACATTTGTGATGATCAGGTGAAGGAGCAGTGAAACAAGCATTAACATACAGTGAACCCTGTCTTATTGTGAAAAACGAACAACAGAACAGTGCACACAACCCCACAAACACATAGCATATATATGTAGTATACATGCTTAGCAGGCCACAAATCAGCATGCAGCATTGACTTGGGTACAGAGCATGGTACTCCTTAGCCCTCCCTCCTCTCACACTGATTGGCTGTGATGTGATTGGTGACGTGATTGAAAGGCCCTTTTTGTGCCCTAATTGGGCGTTCGGTGCAGTGCCAAAAGGTGGGAAAACACTGCAGTGCTAAAGTCCTACCTGTTCCCTTCACAGCTCTCCAGTGGACTTTGGGTAATGAGTGCAACTTTATTATGTTGCCAATAAATCCTTGCTGGGTCTTAGCTTTTTAGGTTTCCTTTTTTTACCTTTAGCCCTATGGTGGCCTGAAAACACAAAGTCAGGGAGGGTGGATAGGAAGGAGTGTTAAAAGCAAGAAACAAGGTTTTTATGGCACAGAAAGAGGCACAACAGCCCTGGGACAGAAGCGAAGAGTGCAAAGATATGACACACTATAAATACTTCAGATTCCTTATCAGCACACATCACAGCGCTTATCTGCTCTCAGGGAGAGAAAAGCTCCAGATCAAGGCATGGGCAGTTTTACCTGCCGTCATGCCAAGCAGCCTTTGGACACCCTCCCTTAACACACAGACTTGCGTACACTTTCACACACACAAACACACGTATCCTCTCCGAGCCAGGCACACACACACAAGCTGCATAGTTTTGCAATAGCAAGCCAACACACCGGTGTGTCTGTCTGTTTGGGAGCAATTATGGAAAAAGGTCATTCAGTGCAAAGCCGATGGGCCAGACAGAAAGAGAGAGAGATCATTCACCATATTCTCACAGCAGCCGTTTTCCTCTGACATCATGCTCAGGGTGGGAAGTTCAATTACTGTTATAATCTTGAACTAATGTATTCCAGGTTAGCCAGTAATTTAATCATATGGAGTCTGGAAAGTTTTTGATATTTCATCACTTCTTGATTTATTAAAAACATATAATTGAAAGTAAATATCCAGATCATATTTCAAGGTTATAACAAAACATTTTTTTAACTTATTTGCTACTCAGAACTACAGTTTGTCTCAACAACTGACTATAGCATTCAACTAATTCCCAGATAACACAACAGTACTGTTAGATAGCTAACATTGCAGTTAGCTGTAGTCATTTACAACTCTCCTATCGTATCCTATAAAATTTTAACCAGTACTGTTAGCTAAGAAGTGTAAAAAGTTAGCTTTGTAGGAAGTTGTTGAAATATTGCTAGTATTGTTAACAAGCTAACATTACCAATAGCTTGAAATGTACACCTTTCCCATCACTATTTAAGGGTTTTGTTTGCTAATAAGTGGTTGAATGCTGACTTTAGCAAACAAGTAAAAAAAAAAAAATTGCCTGACAACCCTCTTGATTTTCAATGTTATTGTGTTTTCAGATTCTTACAACTGAGGAGCTGTGAACAGATAACAGTCTAGCGTTACAACAGCAATTTAGCCTCCCAGGAAAATGGCAGCCATGCAAATATGGTTTAATAGACAGCCATGAGGGACAGCATAGATGCATGATGTGGGGTATGGCATACGGACGAGGGTCATCAGCCTTCATCCATAAAAAAGGCAATGCTGGAAAAATATTTTAAAACGATGTATTATATCTTCGAGGGTCAAATTTACCTGGTTCTGCATCTGAGTGCTCCACCACGTGATGTTGTGACGTGCACACACACTCCAGGTGGTCTTCTAACCGCACAAAGACCTCTTTCAGCTTGGGTCTCCTCCTCACGTACTCCACCTTTGCTACCTGTAGAGAGGAAGAGAGAAAAGGTCAGCTACAGAGCCAGCTCATACGCCACCATTACTCTTCGCCGTGCATGTGTCTTCAATGAATGCACGCACTCTTTGCAGGTCTGCTAACATCAAGAGGCGTAGCGCTGTGACTGATGACTCCTTCATAAACTGATTCACAAAATAGCCGCTGCGTTGCCTTGCCATGTTTGAAGTGTGATGGCAGCATTCCTCAGAGGCTGATGCATTGAGTTCCTTGGGCAGGATGCATTATGGGTTGTTGATCAGGTGTGTAAATACTGAATGGAGTGTATGACCCCGTCCAAGCAAGCTCAAACAATGGGAGTCAGGAGAGATTAAGGGTAGGAAGGGGGAGCAGGACACGCCTTTGGGCCCAGGGAAGGTTTACCCTGGCAGGGGAAGAGAGGCTGGGAGATCCCCCCTCCCTGCTCCAGGCCTAGAACGTCTACATCCAGACAGATACACACCTAAACTCTCTCACCTTGTTCCAACATGTAGGCAGCTTATAACCACATTAATTCTTCTCCATGGGTTAGGGAAAGTGTTGCCTAACATGTGCATGCAAGAAACACAGTTTACATGGTCTAATATAAGCAGTAGAACCCTAGAGAGCTGCAATCTAACACAGAAAAGCCATGTAGGAATTCAGGTCCTTGAGTCCGACTAAAACCCTCTCCATTTAACACAACAGGGCTGACCTCCACTTCCCACCCAACAGCTCATAATGAAAAGGGCCGATCCTCGGAGGGTATGAATAGGCTATGTTGATTAAAGCTTAGATGAAAGCTGAATAGAGAAGGTTGCACGGAGGTTATGATGATCTTGTTGTGTAACTCAGGGGAGGTGGCTTCATCCCTCTCTGATCTGAGTGCCAAGGGCAGGTAACCTCCCCGCTCACCACTGAGGGGCCTGGGGGCCACATGGAAACAATATCCCTTAGCTTCACCTATCTTCCTGGTCACTGCACGAGAGCGGATATTGGCTGACAATCTCCCAGTGTTATGAACAACACGGTTTTGCAGTCGGCATGCGGCGCACACACGCACAGACGGAGGGCCAAAACTCATGAGAGGTTTTCTTTCCTCTATCCTGTAATGGCAATCAGCCAAGGCTGGCTCTCAGTGGTGAATTAGTCATGCAGACAAACGAACATACCAATCCCTGTCTGATAAAACAAAGTATTATGTTGACATTCACACAGCTAGAGCTGCCTCATGTCAGTGCTGTAACAATAGCTGGAGGGTCATCTGGGGAGGCTAAAATTGTAAACGGGGACCGGCGGCTTTCACCAGTCGCTCTTTTGAAACTGTTTCTTTCCATGGACAGAAAGAAGAGAGGGAGTGAAAAGAGGGAAAGCAAGCAAGAGGAGGTATGCAGTGAGCAAACAGAGGACAATGGTGTCTGAGTTAGCGGTGGTATATTTGCTGTTATCTGCCCTGACAGAAAGAGAGAAAGAGGGTGAAAGGGCCGTGGCAGGGAAGAACTGAAACAGGAACATGGACCATCACATTCATTAACGCAAAGATGTGTGTGTGTATGTGTGTGTGTGTGTGTGTGTGCAAACAGAGGAGGTCATTTAAGGAAGAGGGAGGAGGGACTGACCGTGATCATGACTAGCATAAGATGACATTCATGTGTTACCCATTAACGTTTCGTTTCTGGGTTACCCACTGGGGAAATTCATTATACAAACACTAACAGGAGCGATAGGAAAGTTCACCATTGCTAATATTTAATCAAATTATCAGACTGAAAAACAGGGTGTGAGGGTGAACGGGAAGGAAAGAAAGAGACGGCTATCTCTGCGGACAGCCCTGCTGCTATTGGTGACCGGACTCTCTGAGCTGAGGGGGGTCTAGGAAGAGTCCAACACTGATTCAAACGACTAATACACACACACACACACACACACACACACACACCCACACACACACACACACACTAAGACTGAAACTCAAACTCTTCTGGCCAAACAAACAGCTACTGACAGAAGAATAAAATGACGGGTCCCCTTGATAAGAGGCCCAGCGGTGTGCTTGTTTCCTTGGCCCTCACAGCAGGGTTGAAAATGCTCCTGGAAAGAGTTACCACACACATTTGCACTTTCATATTTGTGTGTCAATGTGTATAACTGTTCTATAATCCTTCTCAATAAGCCTCTGATCTGCCCACTTTGTCAACACTCTCTTTCTGTCCTGTTTCCTGCTTTTCTGTTATGGGAAAAGCTTGACACTCTAACATGGTTTCCACTTAACATCCACATTTAATTCCCCCCGTCTTCCATTTTTAGTTACTTTTTCACTCAATCCGAGGCAGAGTCAATGACTTCCCACATAAAACATACATCACAAAGAGACCCCCCCCCCAATGCTACGACGAGGGGCCCCATACTCTCTTTGTATAAATCAAACCACTCCAAGCTCCATAGAAAGCTGGGACCCTGAGAAAAAGTCCCGTGAGGGGGCTTTCGGAATGATATCCGATCCAGAGGGTTAGGGTGAGGCAGGGGGCTCTTCCCCTCGGGTTTGTCCTCAGTGTCTCTGTGGCACTCCGTGTGAAGGCGATTGTCCCGTTCAGACTAATTGGGAATTCCCTGAGCACAAAGCGCTGATGAGAGCATGATGGAGGGGAAAGTTTTAAACCGGCCTTCCAAGGAAAACACAAACAGTGAATGTTGATGTGCACCGCGGGCTATCAAGAACTGGAACAGCGACAGAATCAGGCAAAACAAATAAGAATGCATATGTGTGTGTCGGGGAAATGAAGGGGAGGAAAGGAGCAGAACAGGGTGGCATTTCATTTATCGTAGAGAGACATTTTGAAGGGGAGCATGTCAGAGCCTTTGCAACAGAAGAAATCTCTTGTGAGGTGCTACAACCGTGAGTAGCCGGAGCAGATTCATTCGTCGGACTGTCCTCTGAAATCAAAAGAGAGAAAAATCTCACCCTCAAGAAAGGCAAGATTATCTGCAGACTGTTCCGAGTGAAAACCACAGCAAACGCAGACCGAACATCAGACAAACCAAGCCGAGACAACCTGCTGCTGCCCTCTGCTTCAACCCACAACACACACACACACACACACACACACACACACACACACACACACACACACACACACACACATTCAGGCATGGGGTGGAAGGGGTTATCACAGGCAGTGTGCGGAGAAGAGAGGAAGCAAAGAGAGCATTTATCATAGACCTGCAATGCCAAAAGGGCTCTTCATGGCACACCAATCTCTCCTTATCTCCCTTTCTCACACACACACTAATGTCTCTCCAGATGTGACTATGCATCGTGAACCCATTGTGCACTCTGCTTTCCCCGCCCCCCTCTGCTTAAATATCATGCAATATCAAATATCAAAGAATCTAAGGATGTGTGATCCTTCCATTTAATTCTTCCCTCCTCCCCATTTCTTTACAGAGTTGCAGATGAGAAAGACATTACTGAGCACTTAAAAGAGAGGAAAGTAAATAAGATTTTAATGAGAGAGCAAAAAAGACTGCTAGACTGACAGAGTGGTAAAATTAAAGAGTGGGAGATTGCTCAGCTGCAGGGGAGAGACAGAAAGGGTGAGGAGGGAGTGAACAACTATTTCACATAAGAGACAATCAGACTCCAAAGATTGAGCGGAGAAGAGAGGTGCAAGTAGAGGGGGGAGGATGAAGTCAGAGGGGAAGACCCAAAGGGAGGACAGGAGAAGAGGAGTGAAGGAAAATACAAAATGAAGTAAAATATGATTAAAATAAGCCCGCTCCTTCTCCTGCTCTGGCTGACGCATTCCAGCCGGCGTTGCGGTAGCCAAACTCTTCGGCTTCTGGCTTGGTCAGGACGCTCCCATGGTCTCTGACCCGCCCTCAACCCCCGCCGCGCACCCCGCACACACATTTATACACACACACACACAAACTCCTTCACCCTTCTTCATCTCGTCGAAAAAGCTGCGTGAATCAAAGGGAAAATAATTCACAGCTGCAGAAGGACTTCAAACAGGGAGGCCCCTCTTTCCCATAATGCCCCCCTTCCCCACGTAATCCACAGGACCCCTCAGACGATCATAAATCATGCTCACTGTATCACCGTCACCGTCTTTTATTTATGAAACACCCCGTAAGTCAGGGTCCCACACAACCGCAGGACTACAGCTACCGCTTCCCCCAACACCACGATCTGACCCAGCATCACTGAGGTAACTGTCAGTCTGCGAGTGTGTGTGTGTGTGTGTGTGTGTGTGTGTGTGTGTTTATGTGTGTGTGATGGGGTCGGGGCCGGGGCCAGCACAGGGAGATGTGTGGACCCCCACACTCAGCACTGAGGCTATATCCGCCTGGCCTCTGTCAGCCACCACTTTGATCCTGCAGCCATCAACACTTCATTACTCTGCAGGCCCGTCTTCCTCTCGCCGCCGCTTCTTACAAATGGCCTTGTCCCTGTGCTGCGGTGGGGGGAGTTTACGTAGCGTAGCATAAAGCACGCACTCTCTCATACACACATACACTGAGACAAATAATCCCCTTCTTGGGTTTACACAGATGTGCACTGACGACCCTCTCTGACCTCTGCAGAATACTTGTTCATTTCTTCAAGGACCATCAAAAGTTTCCAGCTACTCATCCAAACTGAATGAGAGAAAATCTACTTTATTGTTGGAAAACTTGATTGAGCACATGTGTGATGAAAATGAAACCCTTTTTTTTTTCCTTTTTGGTTCTATTTTGGTTAATTTAGATGATTTGGGTAATTTAAAAAGTACTTGCCATAACAACACAACATCTGCCATCTAAATTTGTTGCTAAATTTGTAGGACTCATTTATGCTTTCTTAACATTTTGTTTCCACTTTCTTCTCTCAGAGGCACTCTTTGAGATGTCGTTAAATGAGAAAAATAAGGAGTGTCACCATGTCTGAATCTGCCGATGTGGGTTAGTAAATTATGAAGGGGGTTATAATGAACGTACAGGCCAAATGTAGTGCAGAAGCCTCATGAGTTAATGAGTGAGAGGATGAGTGGCAGCTCCATTATTGGCCTGTATCATGAGCTGTTTAATCAGCCCCACAGGAACAGCAAACACTGACTCAAACACATACTCTCACACAATTTTAAACAAAGACTTGTGTGCAAAAGAATTCATAAATGCACCTTGGGAATGATACCTAACCTCCTCTTTATCCCACACGCATCTTACATAAGTTTCTTAGGTACTGCTGTCAACGATCGTTGCTTGTTTTATGCTTGACTTTGTCTAGCAAGCCTCAGAGCCAAAAGCACTGAGAAAACCATCAGAAACAGTGGACACAGCTGCTGCAGCAGACAGAAAGAAAGAAAAAGAAGTGAAGAGGAAAACCAGAGAGGATACAGGAGAGAACAGGAGGTCGGAAAAAAACAGATATGAGAGAGGAGAGATTAAGGAGGATGTTTGGGAGAATGCATCCTGTGCCATGAAAACGCCAATGTTCAACCAGACTTTTCAAATAAAGAAGAAAGAGAAATTGATAAGAAATATTGAGGAATGATGGAGAGGAAAGGGAGAGCCAATATGCTGGAGTACATGGGGAGAAGATGATGTCATTTAAAGTTGAGAGGAAATTAAAAAAAGGGGGATAAGGAGGAGGTACGGAAATGGTGGGATGGTACAGTCTGAATCAAAGGAGGGGCACAAAAAATATAAATGCAGCAATATATCTTCATCCTGGCTTGTGTGATACAAAAGTGGAATCACTGGTGCTGAACATGTGCATTTCAGTTTAAAAGAATACAGCGCTCTAAACACATTTCCCTGCCATTTGACACACTGCCTCACTACTTCATGACTCCTCACAGACATGAATGAGAGTAACATAAGACAAAGTTGACAGCGGGATAAAGGAAAACCAAGAAGACAGCAGGAGATTGGTCAGACAGCGGTGAAAAGAAGTTAAAGGATGAAGCATGATAAGAGGGGGAACTGAAAGCAAATGGCAGTGAATAAATACATTAATCCTGCACTTTAACTTTTTGTTGGCATTTTGTATTTTTCACTAAATCAGATATAGTGAAGTCTCACTATAAGATTGTCTTGCAATACTTCAATTAATGCAGAATGGATGTATTGTGATATTAAAGTTATCATGATCAATGTATCGTGTATCTTGAGTCACCCTGTGATTCCCACCCCTGATTTGGATCTATAAAACTTTTTGAAATTCTGTATGCATCGCTCCTCTGTCTGTTTCTCCAACCTATTCCCTCTCTCTGTTTCTTCTTCCACCCCTGTGCCTCTCACTTAATCCGTCATAAATACTGAAACTGGCAAGACTCTTATCTTTACACCTGTCCCATTCACAGTGTCCTTCCATGACCTGGCAGGCTGACAACACAAAAACAACTGATATAAACCTAGATATGCACAAATAAAGTATTAAAAGTCAATGACAGTGAAATAGTGCACTGTGAAATTAAAGAGCGATTTAAAAAAGGAGGGAAAGGGGAAGCAGGAAAAGAAAGAGAGACTTTAAGATCTTCCCCGTCTCCTCCCTCAGGCTGGTCCTATTTAAAGTTGTCTTCTCACTGCTGAACAGCACAGGCTTGTACTGTACTGGGCGTGTACAGACCCGTTCCTTCTTTTTTTTAGGAGGGGGGGGGTCATAGCAGGAAAAAGGAAAGGGAGAGAAACAGAAAAGGGGAATAAATAAAAGGTGCATTCGGACAAATGTATAGTGACATGAGTTGGAAAGAAACAGGGTGAATGTGTTCCTTTCCCATCCTTGGCCAGCAGAAGAAAAACAAGTCAGGCCAAGGGTAGACGGGCAACATTTTTAGCTTTCTAATAAACAGAGGGAGAAGCACAAACTGAACCCCTGTTCAGACTCACTGCTTAGAGGACAGACAGGAAAAAAAAACTTGGCATCAGACAATGTTTCTCACACACAATGCGGTGAATGTGTCCTGACCGGAGCGAGCCCTGACTGATGACCTTTCTAGGCATACAACGCCTCTCGGCCATCCTCGCCCACGGCTAGAACCACATGGAAAAACGGGGAACCCTGCCCATTGTTGTCCCTCACAAGTCTGTGTGCGCATTCTGTCCTCAGTGTCATGAGGGGGACACGGACAAAGTCGCATGGATCCCAACATTCCAGGAATAGCTGAATCAAGCCTTATAGGAGGTTTTTCCGCCATCGTCAGTGTCTCTCCATCCCTCCGTGTCACAGCGATCACAGACAGAGGACCTATTGAGGAAGATGTACGCTGACTGTCTGGCCGACTGGGAGTCAGACAAGCTTGCATGCAGACAAAAAGAGTCACAGAGTTGTGTTTTTTATCAGAGCTGGCCTCTCTTACCACAATATGAGTCAGCATTTCTAACCATAAACTCCCGTGCCCTGGATGCAGAACTCCACAATGATAGCCTTGTCCCTGTCAGACTAAAGGAGTTTAAAAATCCTCACCAATTTGTAGAAAATACATTGGATTAGAGACATAAATAGACACTTCACAGATACTGTATCTTCTATCTAAATCTCAAAAAAGACACACACTACAAGATACAGTCATCTTGTGGCAAGATTCTTTTTGCAAGTGCCAGGGACGGCATGTTACTCCTCATGTGATCTTGTATGATGTAATGAGATAAACAGGGAAGCAGATGTAAACAAAACAGAGCTTGTGTCGGCTCCCTAGTCCCTACACAGGGAGTTCTCTGCAGTGGACTACACAGTGAACTCATCGGCACAATAATAAAAAAATTATAAAAACATTTAGGGTACTACTCGCTGTATCTCTGGCTGCTGCTAATGACATCGATGCTGTTAAAACACGAAGCAACAATGGCTGGGGATCAATAATCCATAATGGCATGAATTGTAGAGATTATGGTGTATATTGCTTGGCTAGTTAGCATGGTTGTGTACTACTTTCACAATGCATTGTGGGATACAATGATTCCTATATAGGGCGAGATAATGCTCAATCATTATTCGGACAATGCTACAAAACGGCAATTGCCTTCTAGTCCACTATCTAGTGTGTAGTTGGTGTTTTCGGACACAGCCAGAGCCTAACTACAAGCAGTTGTAATGATGCTCTGCAGTGAGAAAACCTGAGCAGAAGGCTGAACGAGTCTAGGCTTAGTCAACACATGTTGTCTGTTCTTATGCAAAACTGGAGGTGAGATCGCCCCTGTTTGTTTCCTGTTAACAATAGCAGGCTAGCTAGTGTAAACCTAAGTGATAGAATATTTATCAATGCTTGGAAAGACCGTCATTGGCACCAGATGTTCTGTGCATATTCCTGTGCCAACTGGGGTCCCAGACCAGATTCCTCCCCCACATGCCAAGAGGGGCAAGTCTTGTGTAAACCATCCCAATCCTTCTCGTCTGAGCCCGATCTTACTGTTCTAACTTTACAGTTCAAAGAAGAGGTCACGGATACTGAAATCTTCCTGCCCTGTGCCAGTGTGCCAAGGGGGAAGGAGACAGCAGCAGGTGGGTTTGGTATTTGTTTTATTACTTTTCTGCTCCATTTGAGGCGGCAATGCTAAAACCCTGCGTGAGGAGGATTTGAGAAAGCAATCTCACAGTGCCCATAGCCGGACAAGATCACAATGATTAAAGAGACAACAGAGTGCACAGACAGGCTCGAAGAGAAACACATTCAGAGTGTTCCAGGCTTTCCTGTTTATCCCCAGCTTGTCTCTTACTCTTACAGAACAGAGCACATAACTCCCATACCTCCAAACAGAGCTGTACACCGGCTAAGAGTCTGTAGTGTAAATAGAGCAGAAATACTACTCAGCTCCAGCCCCCGTGTCTCCTCTGATCCTGAACAGAAGGACATGTTTTTAAGCTACCGATGCCAACCAGCCACTGAGAACAGTGCAACCCTCTTCATCCCTCTCTCTTTTTCTCGGTCGCCTTGTCTCCTCCAGACTTTCTGCTTCCAGAAAAAGACAAAGAGCCAAACAAACACAGAGCCGAGGGATAGCAAGGCAGTAGCAGATGACACTCAGACATTCTCAAGGTACAGATTCTCTTTTCTCTTTCTGTCTGCTTAATATCTGGCAGAAGCATCCCTCTATGGTAGATTCTTCAGCAGGTCTACCGGTGAAGGTACCAACCACCCTCCCTGCCTGCCTGTCCCCTCTATCCTCTGCTCTACCTCGCTCCCCACATCCTGGCACAGGCACCTTGGCCTCTCGCCAAACATGGGATAGAGTGATGAGGAAAGAGGGTGGTGATCTTCTGTAATCGAAGGAGAGGGGGCAGCAGAGGTAGGGTGCCCACTGTTTGGGTACTTGCCAAAAAGATTAAAATAAAGAGGAGATGTGGAGTGAAGGAAGGCAGAAGAGAAGGCACGGAGCATGAAGGAAAGGCACGATAACCCAGCCTTGCATATGATTTACTTACCTGGTGAGGTGGAAAGTGTTGGGAGTAGGTGTGTTTGTGGAATAAATGAGGTGACTATGATATACGACGAACATGTTTCACCTTGCAATGCACTTGTGTTTTGAATGGAGTGTCTTAAAAGCTGACTTAAGCAATTCAAAAGAGATTGCAGGCAATGCGGTGTGTGTTTCATACCTTAACGGTGCGGTGGTGCTTGCGGGAAGGGTGACAGCGCATGTTGCTCGTGTTGCAGCAGCCTGTGCAGCGCTTCACCTCCACGCAGGGCGGCCATATCAGGAAGTTGGCAGACGTCGGATCCACCTGGCTCCTGGGGATCTCGTAGATCACCGTCCGCGTCTTACACACCGCCGGGACCGCCTCCTCCACTGGAAGAAGAGAGAAAGGAAGGAAGGAGGAGCCGAGTTCAGTGACACATTTTCCGAATACCCACACGCTGATGCATTGCTGTAATCCGTCTTTTCCCTCCCAGCTGCTGTATGCATTCCTTAACTGCTCATTATATGATGACTCACTTGATGTGGTAGCTGTTGGTCTCACCTTGGATCACACCCAGTCTCTTTTTGAGGCTGTTAAGAGGACTAGTTATCCCAAAAGCTGATCTCATATCAGCTAAGGAGCATTAGGATCAAGTCTGTGAGACATAAAGAGACTGTTCCTTTGTTCAGAGCGCTGACTGGGGTTAATGCAGCGTGACTAGGCCAGAAAACCTAAAGATGTGTCCGTGGGAAATCTAATAATGGCCTTTGACACTGTAGGTCTAAGTGGAAAGAGGAAGTCAGTAAGCATTCATTTGAGATTTAATGCACTGACAGGCACTCAGACCTAAAGATGTGTCAGAGAGTGTACAGCGAGATACCATTATGTTGTAAAGATGATATGTGCAGAACGAGAGGGCTTTTGTGGACAGCTGCCAAAATAGTATACTGTATCATACACTTATGATACGGAGCGCATACATGAAATACGACCTGTGTGTGCCGCAGGGAAGGATGTAAAGAACACTCAACCAGTCTTAACACACACATCATAGACTACATGTTATCCTCCATGCCTCGATCAGATATCGTACCGCGTGGCGTTTTATGAAGAAATCTGACTGAGAGCCCAGGCGAGCTGCAACTTGAGCCTCGAATGCCTGGAATTTCCACGCTCAAGGATAAATTTCTCTCCTGACGCGTGTCTCTTAGATCTGCACGCCTCCGGCCAATTATGAAGCTTCATGTCAGACGTCCTCGGCAACCTCACACACCAGCCTCATTTCTCATGATTCCCTGATTGCCATAAATACTAGGTAGATGTCTTCATTATGGTTATTTCTCTCCACCGTAAAGCAGTATAAAAGCCACTAACTATTAGCTCAGTTTGAAATTAGTGCAAAGTGATCCGTTTCATCTCCTGGGAACTCGTGTTTCAGGGGTGATATTGAGGTGGAGGTTATTTTTAGGGCATTATGACACCGAAATAAGCCGTGCCAAGTTGTGATGTATATAGAGTAATCATGATGCAACCTGTAGGCTGCACAGTGAAGCATATAGTATTCATTCAAGCTTACCAAGGCTCCTCTTGCGTCGGCTGTGGAGCTGGGAGCTCTTCAGGCCGTTGTAGTAACCATGATGACGGGAGAAGTTCTTATGATGGTTGTGGTACTTGTGATGTTTGGGCTCCTCGATGACATCGTTTCCCGTACCTCGTCAAAACAGAAGGCAGACTTTTTAATAATGTCACACAGAGTAGGAAGTAAACATTTATTCAACCAATAAAACATGAAAACTATGAGCAAGTTAACCACCACTGCAGACTGAGGTTGGTGGTTTGTTAAGCTCCACTGAGGCGGTGTGTGACCCGCCACTGAAGTTTTTATACAGCTCCTCCACAACACACAATGTGTCGGTTACTCACATGGCCATAATGACATTGTAACTTCCTCCTGCCTTCCCGAGATGTATGTAACACGTTTGATTCCCTAAAAGGCTTTGGGTTCCCTTATACGTGCTCGAAGGCAGACAAGGTTACTGCTGATGATTACACAAATTGTGGTAAACAGTTCTGAGTACATCAGCGGGTACACACAGGAGGCACATTTTTACACAGACCTTTGTGTAATTGCACACTTTTTGTGTGTCGGCCACACTCACTCATTTGGCTGAACTTTTCCCAGCAGGCGTAAAGTATCACTCAGGTGAGTCAGCAAACTCCTTCACAAACAACCACTCAAGAGACCAAAGTGGTCATTTGACAGGTGGTGCTCAGCCACTATTATCCCTGCTCCTAATGAGTGGGTTCTTGTCTCTCATTTAGCTGAAATATTTGCTTTTTCAATCATTCAATTGCTTGGAAAAGTACATGTTTTGTTATGCTGCAATGGTAAAACTGCAGTCTAATATAGCCAGCTCAGCGTATTCCCAGTCATGGTCATCTGATAAAGCTTGCTTGTTTTGGTCCCCACCCAGAATATGAGGTGGATTACAGAAGAGTGCCAGAGCAGCAATAAAGTGATAAAGCAATTCTACGCAGACGATACCGCCTTTTCTCAAAGTCTGAGAGTGTTTGCAAAGTAGGTGGGTCCACCTGTCTGTGGGTACAGGACACCCACCCACCTAGTTCATACAATCCTACACCTGTACACTTAACATAAACATACAACCGACAACTACACAAACCCCTTTTATTATCCTCCATAACATGCTAAAACCCAATGTACACTAGCTCCACAAAGCTTAGCCACAGGCGAACACATTCCACTCCTACAGCTTCTTTGTGCTCTGACCAGAATCTTCTGAAGGGATTTCCTCCACCTATATGTGGTCCACCTCTGGGGATTTGTTGTTTATTTGCTTTTAGATGCCTTCTTTTTTTTTTTTTTCATGTGTGCCCATAAGTGAGAGTTGATGGAATTTCCTCCTAGCCTGTCGTGCAGTCAGTCAGACAGCCGGTGACCCAGAACCAAAGGTCCGCAGAGAGGAAGTGTTGAGGCCTTGAGTTAAGAGCTGAGCTATCAGTCTAGGAGGCCAGTATAGTCACACACACAGGAATATACTGTATGTCACATACACATACACTGCATGACATATATGGAAACACACCTACACTGTCGGCACTGTCAGGTGGACTCATTGTGACAGCTGGCTGATTTTCCTACCCAACAACCTTTTAACACTGCAGGTCACTTACAGAACTCCCACTGTGCCCCCCCTGACTCCACCGTACCTATCCCCCCTCTCTTCATCTCTCCCTTGTCAGAAAAAGGACAGGAGAGAGGGAGGGAGCCACACCAGTGGCCACCCGGAGACAGTTTGTGTCAGAGCTGACAGGAGGAAGGGAGGGAGGGCATAAAGAAGTCCTTTATAGACTGCGGAGTCCTCTTTTCAGCACAATAAAAGGACCTTTCTGTTGGTTTTTTCCTCTGTAAGAGGGGAGAAACTGAGAGAGGCAGGAGGAGAAAGGGGTGTTAAAGAGAAAGGTGGAGACTGTGGAAAACTAGAGTGAGGGGTTTGCTTCTGCATCGGTTCCAGGTGACTAAGAAGTAATAACACGCCCGGAGCGTCGTCAAACTGAGACAAGAGAAAAGAGGACAGGAGACAGTCTCTTTGCAATGAATCAGGCTTTCATGACTCGCAAATTACTCCCTTCATTAGCTGAGGGCCTCGGCTCCCTCCCTTTACTCCTCCTCCTCTTTTTCTTTCTCCCTTTCCTTGTACAAATAGCCAACATGTTGTTGACTTGTTGTAATAGGTGCCTCCATGAATCTCCCTGTCTCTTCTCTTGGTTTCTTTATGGTCAACAGTTTCACGGATGACTTGACAAAGTGTTGGTTTAGGTCAAATGGGCAAAAGGTCCTTTCTGAGGTGTGGAAACAGGTAGGAAGTGCAATAACTTTGTTTTGACACTAGTTTTATAGGAAGTGGCACCACGCCGTATCATGCATTAACACATTAACACCAGCTTTTCAGAAACAAAACGGATTGCACAACAAATGGAAGTGCAGCAGACATTCAACCTCCAGAATATTCCTACACCCTCCTCCACCTTCTCCCCTAAGAGTCAGGTTCCCTTTTCTGTCAAAGTCCTTCACAGAGAGAGATAAGAGCGGGCAGGCAAAGGGGGGTCTGAGGAGGGAGACGGGGAGAGAGAAGAGGAAAAGCGAAGAGAGGAGCACCCTTAGGGGCCAGACAGCCATCTGCAGACTTCAGCAGGGTCATCTCATCTGTCAGTCAGAGCTGAAGACACCATCCTCAAAGGACATGTGCGCATACATACAGCAGCACTGAACTAAACACACAGCCGCTAGTGAAGCCCTGCAGGTTGTGATCCTGACACATGAAGGCTGAATTATGAAGTGAAATTTCAATTGACAGAGAATGAAAACAAAGTGCTTAACAAAGAGTAAAAAAACACCAGATATAGAATCCAGAATATCCTGGATGTGTCCTTTGAAAGACAACCTCATACCTCAGATCCTCCTGCTACCACCAGCAGAGGTTTTAACGCCTTATATTGCCTTTTTCCCCCTCTCCTTTCTTGGTTGACATACTATGCCATGTACAGTTCAGCCTATACTGGTAACTTAACTGTGCCGGTTCGTCCGCAACAAAAGCTCTGAAAATACCCCTATGGCTGGCGTCAAAGGTCTTTTAACAGGCTGGCCTAGGCCGTCGAGCTGGCCCTCAGACAGATTTATGTCCTCGTAATAATAATCAGCCTACTACTGTTACCCTGCGAAACATTCCTCTGTTTGAAGAAAGACATGTTAATTCAATTATAAACACCTCGTCTCATGCTAGAGGGGCCCTATTCTGGGCTTAAAGCGAGCTGATAAACTGTTGTGGAGTTCAGGTTTGCTTTTTTAAATGTAACACATTAATGATGCCGGGCTATTAATCTTGATTGATGTGTTCGTCAGAAAAGCCATCATGTAGTTACAAAGAAGAACACTTGATACTGGAGTGAAAGACTTGTTGCTGACTATAAATATTAAAGCTGCTAATGAGCTATGACCAGAGAGGAATCTTACATAATTTGGGACAGTTAAAGCAAATTAAGCAATTACCTATTTCCATCAACCAATCTTTAGGGAGAGCACTGAGCTTGATATATGGCCAAAGCCTGTGTAAATAGAGGCTCGTATGAAGGCAAACAGCTTCTTCTGGCGCACCGCTGTAACTCAATCTAACACACCATGAGACAGCCTGGTCCCCCCACCACCGAAGAAGCAGCACCTCCAAGAACCTGAGTCTGAAGAAACCCGCCTGACCCGCAGGCTGCTGTCTCTGTTTACAGGGCGACATATGTGGCGGTCTGCATGCTATAAAGCAAGTTTATTGCAGCAGCTGAAAGAATATGCACGGCTAAATGCCTGCCAGTGAAAGTCCATCTTAGTCACATGTGTACAGTAAACGTACCTATCACGCTTACTGCGTTATCGGGCATGCCAGGGCTGCACTTGGCAGCTCCCTTGGCTTCAAAGATCTTTCAGTGTTTTCTTGTAGTCATGCACATTTCTTTGGAGATTGACTTTTGGTGCCAAATCTTCACAATGATTGTCTGAATTTTTGTCCAAGAAAGTGCCAAATCAACAGGTGCTGCTGTTTTTTTCATTAGAACCTCTACTGAAGTATGGTCAAATCATGTCAAATATCAGTCTCTCCCTAAAGCTTGTCAACAGTTAGGCACTAAGTGTGTGAACATTTTCAATACTCTGCTACTTTTCAATATAACGTGTTTTAAATCGATCAAATCTCAGTTCCTTTAATGATCGATAATATTGAAAAGAACTTAAAAGGCTTAAAAAAATGTTTAGTCATATTCAAAACCAAAAGTCAGTCATAGCTGCCTCACTATGACTGTAATATTTATACAGTATACCAAATGCCCTCATACCAGGAAATGTGCAGGTGACAACAGGGCAAGCTTCCTTTCAAGGTGATTCCACAATAGAGTGTATCACAGCCAATAATAACGTCTGATGTAACTGTGGTGCAGCTGTTTTTAGTGGCATGCTTTGAGAAGTGATGTGACATCAACAATAGCAGCCTCACGTGTGAACTGCAGCTTATGCAAAGGGGTTAAAAATGGAACTCTGTTGAAAAAAGGGTATCGAGAGGCAGAATTTACCTACGGAGTCAATGTCCAGTAGCCGCTGGAGGTCGCTGATGCTGTGGATTTCACTGTGCGACAATCTGTCTATCAGCTCCTGGGGAAACTCCACTTCCTATAGGGGAGGAGGTGGGGAAGGGAAGGGGGGCAAAGAAATCAAACAAGGCACACGAAGGTTAGATTTGCGTCGCGCCAGTGGCAAAACGTGTGAGTAATTGTTTGCCTGTATAAATAAACCTGCTGGCTTTACAAATCCAACAGGAAGACCACTGTTAGAACAACTTTGCAACTATGTGCCAACTACAGCTCAAAGAACTGCCCCATCACACATGAAAAAAGAAGCTGTGCCGAATCCCCTCGAGAAATTGTGCAAATTAAGAACACTGCAAGTTGCATACGAGCAAAGATGCATGCATGTAGGATAAGTTTAAAGTGATTTAATTATAATCTTTGGGTAAGCTCGGCGTCCAGTTAATTCTACAATTAACTAATTTTCCCTGTGCAATGGGATTTAAAGAGCCTACAGATTTCCCTTCCTGCCCCTGGAAGACAATTGGCATTTTAAAAGTTTATAATATAAGCACGGCTTTTAGTACTAATTGGATGCCGAATGAAGAAATCGATCCTTGAGAGCTTGGAATAACTTGTATTAATAACTTGTATTAATAACTTGTGCCTTATCTTATTTTATCATGGTAGGTGTTTCAGTATTAAATCGTCGCTTTACTGAGGGAATTTGGAACTCAGGGGGCGACGTCTGCCGGTGTGAACAGCAGATCCCAACACATTGCACTTGTTGCGGTCTTGCAGGCACCTCAGTCTGAGCAAACCGCGCAGCCATACAGGAACAGTGGCTATTTATATCGCCCGGAGCGGCGCTTCCCATGAAAGCGCTTAGCCCAACCAAAACGTTTGCCCAGTTGGCTCAGGCTACAAACAGATTTGGCACAAAAGCCAAAAATAACTGCGATGTGCGTCCAAGTGCAGCGTTATGTTGGTTCTCAAAAAGTGTGTTGTCACTGGCTCTCATAGTAGCTGGAGTAATGTGCTGTGTACTCAAAAAATAAATACATATTTAACTTTTTATGTAAATACCCTCTCAGTCTCACTACAATTTTCTCTGCCACTAACAGTTTAGCTCTATTCAGATTATTTCAATGTTTAAATCATATAGGCTCATATCTTCTAGTCTAAAAATGGACTTAAAATCAAAACTTCGAAATGGCTATTCCACTAGTTTTCTTACTCTTGTGTAGGGTAGGCTACTCTGTTGCCTGATTGTGTGAAATGCGCGCTCTGTGAGAACCGTGCACCCTCACAGGAATAAACCCCCGCAGCCCTGAGTGTGGGAGCAGAGGGGCACAATCTGCTCTGGGAGTCCTGGGAACTTTACCTCAGTGGTGGCCAGCAGGTACGTCGTCCACAGCAGGAAGTAACAAAGTGCGACTCTCATCTCCCTTTAATTTTGATTTAACCCCAAATAAGAAAAAGGTGCTGTTCTGTAGGAGCCGCAGAATCGCTCCTGGCCCCACAGGATCCACAACCATCCCCAGCCCGGGGAGAGAACCCGGGGTGTCAGAGCTGCTCGGTGCACTCGATCGGTCTCCCGGTTACACTTGTATAGCTGCAAATGTGGAGAGGCTGAAAGCTGTCTCTTGTTATTCACATTGGACACGCTCTGTGAAGCAGCATGACATGTAGCTCCTCAGGCGCAAGTGGGACAATCCCCAGAGACGAAACCGACGCGCATTGCACTTGTCCTTCACCCTGTTACAAATGGCTTTAAACTTCTGCCCAGTTTACTGAAACCTCAAACACAATAACCCACAGCTTCTAGAATTACGCGCGATTAAGACAATGATTCGGTGATAGTACAAGTCCTTAAAGATTATAATCCAAACGATCAGATCCTCTCAGAAAATCAGCAGAAAGTTGTCCGTGTTGCACTATCCACAGTGTGTCTTGCAGCAGCAGTGTGCACAGGTCCTTGGCTGTGTAGGACTCTGTAGTGAATGCAGTCAGAGCGCTTCTGAGCCGCTGGATATAGAGAGCCAGCAGCTCTGTGCCCGTTGCGCCTCCCCTCGCGTTTCTGTGATCGTGCATCTATTCAGCGATGGCAGCTGGTTGGCTGGTTAGATGACTTAAGACTCTAGAGCTTTCACCCCCCCCCCCCCTCTCCCCTCCCCTCCCCCCAACACCCCCTAGTCTGTGTGTGCGTATACATGTCCTTCAGCTGAGAGCCCATTCACAGATTCAGGCTGTAATTGAGAGTGATTATCAATGATAGGAAAGATGCAAGACTGACCAAAGTAAGACTTAAGAGGATGAAGTTAATGATACTGTAATCACTTCTCAGTGTCATCTGTTGGCACTTTGATTGAATAAAAAAGGGACGTAGCGAATGGGAGATTGATAATGTAATGAGCATTGAATCCTTCATTGTTTCATGGTTTTCTGAATGATTTATAGAGCAAAGGAGACAAAACATAAAATGATTGTGATCTTTTCTGACTCACATTTCCGATAAAAAAAACATTCATCACAATGTCTTTAGCACTTCCTGTCATCAATAAACATGTAGAACGCCTATGAGTGGGCCTGCATAACAAAAATCAAGCAACATTTGAGGACTGATGGCAAGGGGTGAGAACTACACTATAGTGTCTTAACTGTTAAACACGTGTGTGTGTGTGTGTGTGTGTGTGTGTGTGTGTGTGTGTGTGTGTGTGTGTGTGTGTAAGTGTGCATGGGTTTGGGCACACAGGAAGCAACTAGTTTACAGCAGGTTAACAACAGGCTGGTCTTAACTTGTCGCGAGGAAGCTGGAGGCTGTGCTGCGCTGGGAGGTCTAGGAGAAGAGCCCGAGGGTCCGATAAACGAGACATACCTGCAGACAGCGTGCACACACATTATCAGCCAGAGGTGACAATCAGCAGGGAGCCAGAGGTCAGCCAACCAGGTGGTCTGCCCTCCACCTTGTCCATTCAGCGGGATCACAGAGCGATAGGCCCACCCGAGGCCACTGTAGCTGGAAACACTTGCCTGGAGACATCACTGCAACAGCTGGTAGAGTAATTAATGTAAATATTTTAATAGGTCTATGAAGTACATTTTAATGTGGCACCAGTGCTGTAAAGAATGTGTAATTTATTTTAAACAAATGTCGCCCTGCAAAAGCCATCTATGTGACACTCTTTGTCCTCTTTTTAAATTTACTGCACTGCACCGATCCCTCAGTTTAACTTTGCATGAGTAACTGTGTGCATTTAAGATCATGATGCTATGGCAGAATGACTAACACCAGCCAGTGACAGGCAGGTTCATCATCACCATCATCATCATTTTCGACAGTGTCATAGTGTTGTCACGGTTACATCACAGGTCAGCCTCCCTGCTGTCTGGATTTACACTCTCACTGCATTGCATGAATCATGACTCTCCATCACATCATGGTGGGAAACGTGGGGTTAGAGGAAGAGGTGAGAGATCAGGTCACACCGTTAGAGTGATTGTTTTCAGTGGTACATGAAGAAGAAGTGAGTAGAGGGAAAAAGTGTCAAGTGAGGAAGTGAAGATGTGTCATGTTCGTCTGCGGTCATTTTTGTTGTTTTTTGTCACAAGGTTTAAAATAACGAGGAGCAGAACTAAACAGAAAAGATTTATTCAAACAAAAATAGAAAAATGCAAAATGAAAGCTTACATGTTCAAGTTCCAAAACACAGTCCATCAAAAGTCCAACTAAAAATACCAAAGGAGAAAAAACAAGAGCCACAAGGAGAAATAAAGAAATAAACACAGGGAGGCTAGATGTCAAATCCACAACAAACACATGAATGAATAACATGATGAACATGATGAATAAACTGACACAAAAGGGACGCATCGCTGAGGCTAAAAGGACACTGAATCAGAGACAGGTGAGAGTATGACACAGGTAAAGGCAATCAGGGCAATCATAACTGGAGAGAGACACATTGAGGCAGGAAGAACAAGACACAGGGAAATAGACTACAAAATAAAACAGGAAACACTGAAAACTAAATTTAGGATTATCAACAGAAACATTTTTAAGAAGGAAACAGAGAAACACAAGGAAACAAATGACAAAATAAAACAAAAAGAACAAGGAATAAACAAACTAATCAGAGGACATCATTCTCACAGGAATGTTTTCAATCAAATCATGCAAATCATCACATTCTTCTTTTATTTACATTTTTACACAACATCAGAACTAATACAACTCCAGGGAATGGGGGATACGGCTTTGTTAAACTGGAAATAAATAACATTTTGTTACCTACTAATTTAACCATTCATTGGATGTGAGATAGATGAGAGTAATTACACTGGCTGTTCGATGGTTTTTCATAAAGTGATGCTTTATGGTTACACATTTTAAAGAGTATCAGTTTGATCTTAGAGATGGTAAAGGTGATAAGAGGGCGATCAGAAATAAACATTAAAGCAGAAGATAAAGAGGAAACAAACTGGTCTGAGGTAGAGAAGAGACTAGCATTTCAGGGGTCGAAGAAGAAATTGAAACAAAACCAAACCATTCCCTCTTTCTCTCCAACCTTCTCTCCTGAGCTGTTACGGCAACATGTTTACTGGCAACTGAAGTCTGTGTACCTAACAACATTAACCCCATTAAATGCTTTTTATAGATGCTGCTGCACAGTAAATCGAGCCATAAAGACGCCGCGGAGAGGACGGTGATGACTCTCTTTTCTCCCCCCCGGGGCCACACATAGCTCCCAGTGAGGGAAATGGAGGAAAAAGGCCGTCAAAATTTCTAAGAATGTGGCGGATATGAGTTGCATGGCCTTGGGGGGATTGTAGTGTCTTAGTCTGGATGAAGTCTGTCTCTTCTTATCATCTATTTCCACGGTGGGAAGAAGTGATCATTTGAGGAGTCTTTAACCTTGAATATCTGTAAGCAGGAGGGGAAGGTTGTAACATGGCAGGAATATTAAAACTGAAGTCGTTGTAGACTTATTTTATAGTCAGAATAAACAGATTAATATTGAGATTAAGGAGAGTGAGTTTAAGGATGATTCTTTACTAAACATGTACGATTGAAAGGACGTAAAAATGATTTTGTTCACTTCTTTCTTTAGGTATGCTGGGTCTTTATACAGGAATATAGAAAGAAAAGAAAATAACAACACATTTAAAAGTCTGTATTTAACTGTCAATATCTTTATGAAAATGATAAAAAAAATATATGTTTAACAATAAGCTGAGTAAGAAGCCAGAGGTAGCAAAAAGAACAGTTTTCTTCTGATGAACTTCAAAAATTACAATTGAAACAGGCGCGCAGATGGCCTAGCGGTTATGTCGTGTGCCCCATGTACAGAGGCTATAGTCCTTTTTGAAGTGTCTGTAGGTTCGAATCTGACCTCGGCTGCATGTCATCCTTTACTCTCTCTTCCCAACTTTCCTGTCTTTAATAACTCTGAAAAAATTACAAATGACCAGACGTTCAGATAAAACAATAAATACCTAGCCTTGTTTTCATCATTGTGTTTAATAATTACTCCAGATCAATGAGGATCCTTTAAGCTCAGACACAGATGCCATTTTTAAACCATATATCCAAGGCCCTAAAATACTCATCTACTGTACATGCTATACCTAAATGTACCAGGAAATGTTTCCTTTCTGTTACGTTATTTATTACCCACACTATAAGTCCTGACACCTATACTCCCAAAGCAAAAGACCAGGTATTACAGTGCAGTAAGTGTTATAACAAACACATTATCATCCATAACCCGATCTCAACCTGATCCCTGTGCAGCTGAACTCTGACCTGCACAGAAAGCAAAGACTCTCACACTTCAGTGTGCTGGGGAGCCATAAAAAGATAGCAGATCTGACAATAGAAACTCGATCTCCTGATAGCCGCACATTCTCCACGATTATGACGGCCACAACTGTTGTACTTCTTCTCAGACGAAAGCGATTACATATTTTCCATTGGGCATCCCCGCTCTATGACACCTCATAATGTCAAAGAGCGAGTGGATTGCCTTGCAACAGAGAAACAAACACAGATCTTAACCTGGTGTCTCCCCCAGCGCCGCCCAGCCACATCATAAGCATGCATGAGTCACGGACACAAGGAGCAGGTCCTCTGAAGACGACTGAGAGATCTCCTCCCTCCTCCTCAGGGGAGAATTAGCTCCACTAACTATCGCCCCAAACCAGCTCATCAGCGTCTATGATGACAAAGTCGATTCCATAAGTGGGTTGTGTGTTGGTGTTTTAAGTCTGGAGATGTGAGTTCTTCGACACGAGCGTGTGTCTTGTAATAAGCCCATTAGAAACAGCGGTCACATTTATGGTTGGGTTACTCACAGACACACAGACACACAGACACACACACACACACACACACTTACACACACACAGAAGGGTAAGTAATTCAGGTGAAATTTCCCAGGAGCAAAGGTACATTCCTGTGGCTCGTAGCAATATAGATTGGACTTGGAAATTATCCAGAGCAGAGTGCATATCCAGGGCAACTTCTACACACATAAACAAGCAGCCACACTTGACGCACGCGCACACACACACACACACCACACACACACACACACACACATTCACACAGAAAAAAAAACCTCCAACACACACTCTAAGTTGAATATTAAGCAGTGAAGGGAGGCCAAGTACAGCGGCCATACTTACAACTGGTCCTAGACGCAGCTGCTCTTTTATAGGGACGATTGCTGGCAACCATTTACAGGCCTTCATCTCTCTAACATGCATAGCAACCTGAATTAAGTGCTCTGTGGGGCCTCTCGGCACTCCTCCAGACCCCTTTTTTCCCTTTAAGGCACCATAGGTGTGCAGGCATTAAAGCAGTACAATGCCCAACTACTCTTTCATAAGTCACAAATGCACAGTTAAGTTCACCTCTAGGATCAGAAATTACGCCACATGCTCACATAAATGCCCAAAGCTGGTGGTACGAGGTATGCGCGGCAAACCTCCAGCTGCAACACATTATACATTTCTGCAGCACACTTTAGTTGT